GCCTCCCGGGGGGCTGCGGTGCCGAGGGCCGCGCTGGAAGCCTCACCCGTCACCCACGGGCATCCCCAGCCGCCTGTGCCCCGGCTAATGCATTGTCCCGATCCGTCGAGATTTTAAGTATTATTATTACTCTTTCAGAAATTATGACTGCTAAGATTGTTGGTTGTTTTTTGTTTGATTGTTGTTGTTTTTTTTGTCCCGATCCGTCGAGATTTTAAGTATTATTATTACTCTTTCAGAAATTATGACTGCTAAGATTGTTGGTTGTTTTTTGTTTGATTGTTGTTGTTTTTTTTTTTTTATAAGTAATCAAATCGCAGCGGTGGGCCCTGCACTGAGGGGGTGCTCCGGCCGGCCGGCTCTGGTCAGCCAGGCTGCAGCCCGGCCGCTGCCCCGGGTGCCCTCGGGAGCCCTCAGGGCGGTGCTGCCTTCCCAGATACGCGGCGTCTTCCCTGCTTCAGGTTGCTTAAGAGCTTTGCTGAGTTCAAACCGGCTGTCTCAGAGTAAAAGATGTGATATAACCAAATTTAAGTCGCCTGTCATACGATACGTAATCTTTCTGGTTTTCAGCCCAAGTAATGATGGACCGATACAGTGATTGCTCCTTCTGAAATCTCAGAGGTGACTCGCTAGCAAAAAACCTGATTAAAATAGCCAAAGAAAACCTGTGCCCTTACCTTGTTTTCAAACACTGCCCCTTCCCTCAACTTTTAAAACGCTGCATCAAAGTGCGGTTTTGTATCATGAGGCAAACTGGCCTGTAGAAGGCAGGTAGCAGTTTATTCACTGACTTTCTTAGGGATTTTGATTTTTGTTGTCTGTGGTAACATTGTACGATGTTAAAGTGGTCATATGTGAAACTGTAACTTTAAGTGATCGTGTTTAGATCCTACTTGAAAAACTGCAAATACACCCATAATGGTAGACTTTAAGCTCTCGCTTGCAAACTGTGTTTCCAGGCTTAACTGTGGCTGGGGTGCAGGGCTGGCGCAGTTAGGCTGGGCAGGGGTTTCTCTCCTTGCCCTTGCTGATGATGCCCACCCAGGCGCAGCACAGTGGCCTCCCAGTAACCGCAAGAGCCGCTCAGCTTGGGTGCTGCTGGTTTCTATTTCCTAATTATTCCATCAAGAGATTTAAAACTGTCTTTAAAAGCCTGATATCCTCTCCTATCTCAGGTTTCACAGGCTTTGGAAGCAAGTGCTATTCTAACTGGTTCAGAAGTGAAACGACGACTTTCTAGCTAGAAAAATGCAGGTCAAGAGTAGGGGGGAAAAAAATCCTGGTTTTCAGAATGTAAAAGAAATAAGTGTGAGTTTGCTTGCTAGTCCTTGCTGTCAGTGATGTTCCCTTCAGGAGGCTGGATCAAGATGTTGCCAAAGCCGTTGGGTGGGAATTCCGCATCCCCGTGGTCAGAAGTGCTCTCCAGTAAGCAAATCCATCTCCTTGGTCTATGGAGTAGCTTAGAGGACTCCGTGGGAGTTACCGAATGATACTTTGCTGATGAAATGTTAGCCAGGGTTGTTGGAGATGTTTTGAAGTGATAGCCATCCGTTGTTGATGTGATGCTAGAAAATTAACTTTCATATTTTTGTTAAGGAGTTGTAAGTTGGTGATGTCTGTAAAAACAGTTGGTATCAAGAGATTGTCTTGTGTCCGGTACAATTTTTCATTAAAAGCTTACGTCTGCTTGCAGCTTGATTATTTTCAAGGGAACCCTTGGAATAACTTCAAAATAGTATTTTTGTCGTCTTCGTGGCTTGTGAGCAGTGATTGCCAGAGTTCTCATTGTTCTGCTTTTATGGTATTTTTACCATGAGTCTGTGTGTATTGCACAGCCCGGGCTCTCCCCGCAGTCCCGTGTAGCTCTGCGACTTGGACGTGTTAGCAGCGCAACAGCTTGACACTGTTGTGGAGCCACGACAGCTGCTTAGTGCTTTGATTTTGATGCTGCTGTGAATTATGTAGTTCCTTTTGTCTGTGTGATAAGGGTAGATTTAATATCTCTATTCAAATATTACCAGTGTGCCTTTACAATTAGCTGTCCATTTTTTCCCCATTTAAAAAGTATTTTCCTTTAAGTGCTGCCAGCTGATACGGAGGCTGTTCTGGGTCTATTTGGATAGCTCTAGCACCGCTTTTCTTGTGGCGATGGAAACTTAACCTATGTTAATGCCACTTCAGCTGCCTTTGAGTAATCCTGTTCTTTAATCATTGGAATCTTACCCCTTAAAGTCTTTCCTATAATGCATAGACTTTTTTTGTTTGTTTATCCATAAGTTTAATAGATGGAAGAAATGAATACAACTAAATGTTGTGAAGTTATTCTCACCTCAGTAATCTGAGCACTTCTCTTACATCATGTTGTTTGCCCTGATTTGCAGGTTATTCGAGTCGATCGTTTTTCTAAGCCCCATAGAGGCTTTTCTCGATCGGTATTTTGCTCAAGCAATAAATAAATCTGCTGACGTGTATGTTCTGTCATGTTTGCTTATTCTTGACCTTTGCTTTTTAGCCATGCAAGGGAAAGTTTCAGTCATGACGTTGTGTAACTGGGTGTTTATGCATTGACAAGTGTACTTGATTTGTATTCTTAAAATCAGTGCCTGTTGCAGCTGATCGGTTGTTCAGGGTAACGTAGGGCGTGGGTAAGGGTTTCAGGGTGAGCTGTGGAGAAACCAAGGACTCCTAGTGCTTTGTCATCTTCGGCCAGGGAGGCAAATGTGGGCTGAAAAGATGTTGTTCCAGTGCAAGCAAACATAATTTGAATAGTCTTTCCTCCTCTTTTCATATTATCTTTCTGTGATATACCTGTTGTTGCGTAGTGGAGAAACTGTTTGTTGCCACGAGTGTAATTGCAATGATGGGTGCCTGGATTTTGATCTGGTTCTGATGTGTGTTTTAACTACTATGTCCTGTGCTCCAGGGCCAGAGATGCCCTAAAGTCATCTTGTGACCCCTCCAAGGTACGGCTGCAGTGTCAGAATGAGTGTGGCAAGACAGCCTGCAGCAGCCCCGATGCCTCTGCCAGTTGCACTTAGCAGTGCAGTCCAGTTTCTCGAGCGTAGCTGGGCTCTGACGTCCCCTGAGGTTAGCAGGGGTTATGTGCTCCTGTAGGAATTAGCTGGCTAAATGCTTCTAAGGATGTTGCCCTTTAGTCTTTCAAGAGGTTTTCACGCTAGATACTAATTCACTGTGTCAAACTGGTGCTTTCAGAGTGGTTCTCCTCCCTTTAGATAATGAGGAAATTAAGATGAAAGCTAAGAAATTAATTGCTCGTGGCTGCACAGTGAACCTAGCAATGGCTTTGTTCTTGCACCCCAAAGCATGGCTTTGGCAGTAGCGGCGGTTGCTGCTCTGTGCTACCTGTCCTTCTGGGCACTCGAGGTGTGCCAAAGCTCCCCCGACACCTCCGCCGTGGCCGCTTGTTCGGAAGCAGCCCTGCCTTCGGTGGCAGAGGGTTTTTTTCTGGAGCAGGAACAACTGAATTCATCAGTCTGTGCAATCCATCCTGGCCACTTGCTTCTTTCCTAGGGACAAGCATAGCAGCCTTATTTTTTTTTTTTTTTTTTAACCGTACCACAAAGAGCAGGTATTTGAGGAGTAGCAGAGCTTCATCCTGGTAGCAAGGGGTGTCCTGCCGGTGATGGTCGGCTGAAGTTGGCTGACAGTTGTATGGCACAACTGGAGTGTTGGTTATTGTCACCCTGGCTGCTCTCACCTCCACCTTCTGTTCTTGAACCTAAGCTGAGGGAATTTGATGGGAAACGTGGTGTTCTAGAGTCCTTTTTTAAACATAAAGTTTGCATGTAAGGTTTAAATTGTGGCAGCCTGTGCAGGATGGTACCAGGAGGTCACAGTCTTTGAATGGCAATTCCGGAGCTTTGTGCTAAGTAGTCTTTTCCCATTACAAGCCAAACAGGCAGGTTCTGTGCAGACAGTGAGGATTTATTTGGTATCAAACTTCTCCGTGTTCAACTTCACAAAACTTCTTCACCTCTTACCGCCTCTGCTTCAAACCCCGGCAGCTCCCAAGGGTGGCTGGAGCACTGACTCTGCACTGGCATCCCTGCATTGCCCTCTCAAAAGTGCCATGCTTTATGTGAAGATCTCATTTGAAATCTTCAGTGGAGCATCACACGCTTCCACCAAACTGTACTTAAGATAAAATTATATTTACGTCTTGCAAAGACTTCTGTCCACGTAGCATTTTCCCAGGGGCGGAAAAGATCTTTGTTGTTGAATCACAAGGTCTGGATTCTGTTTTCCATTTCTACACTAATTTTTTTAATGCGTTGTGGGGTCACTTAACTGGTCCATGATACAGTTTACCAAAATTAAACTTTTTGGTTTTTTTTTTCACCCAGGGCTTTGAATTACTTTTGTTACCTATAAATATTTTAGTGTTTAATGTGCTGTTCTGACAGATCTTAAATGCATTCTTTTGTCTGTTTTTTTTCAGACTATAAGATTCAGATATGTCCTTCATATTTGATTGGATTTACAGTGGTTTCAGTAGTGTATTACAGTTTTTAGGTAAGTTTTTTATTGTTTGGTTTTTTTCTGCTATTCTTGTATAAAATGTCTGTTCACCTCTGTTATCAAAGATAGCCACTGATTAAATAAAATATTTGTTCTGGTATATATTAAGTAACACTCAAACAAAAGTTTCACTTGGAAAGACTCCGTATTGACCGAGTATGCTCTCCACTCAATCTGATGTTAATCCTTTAACCTCTTGAAAAAGTTACATTTTCTTACATTTTCTTTCTAAGCATACCACAGTTAAGCGGCTGTAATTCAGTTGACTCTTATGGACTTTCTCCTGATTTTTCTCTGCTGTAAAGAACTGAGCTCAGTTATTTTAGTTTAGTTCTCTTGCACGTGAGGCTATCACTCGAGAATCCAAATATGAGGGACTGTCTACAAAAAAATTAGTGCCAGATATTGAAGCCCTTGCTCATGGTCAGCAGTGAGTTATTCTGTGACGGGTATCACTGAAATCGGTGTGAAACTTCACTGGCACCTGCTAAGAGCCTCAGGAAAGTATTCCCTGGCCAAGAGAGTCTGCAATCCCTATTAATCCAAGGTGAAATATTAGCTTGTGCAAAACAGGAGGAAAAAAAGCCAAGGGGGGCGGAAAAAACCAACCAGGAGGAAAAGGAGTGTTGGGACACTAAAAAAAGGAACAGAAGTTGCAGATCATGTAGGTAAAAGGCACAATTTACAAGTTTGGAGGATTTTATTGAAGTGGATAAAAAGCATTTGAGATTAAAGAAACATGACAAGCTGTGCCACCTGCCTTTTATCAGTTGAAAGTTTAAACTTTTTTGCTGAATGTTAGACCCTTGGCCTACTATCGAAGTATTAGCCAGTGAAATTTTAACTAAGTTGACTAATCTGCCTTATCTCCTCTTACTTAGCTGAGCAGTGATTACAGCATGCTAGCTCGCTTTCCCATTCCTGTGCATGCAAAGTCTAATTCTGGTGAAAGATACTGGAACTTGAAGTAGGAAGGAGGATTGTTTTCAATGTGTCCCTCGTATTCTAGAAGAAAGTCTTTCTCTTTTCATTCTCATTGACATTCACAATTGAAAAAGGCAGATTATAACATTTGGGAAACTCCCTGCAGTTCCCTGTCCTGTACAAGCAGACATGTACTTTCAGAATGCACAAAGAATCTTTTTTTTTTATATATGTATCAAAAAAACTCCAGTCTTGGAGCTAATAGCTGAAGTATTGCTGCTTGTTTGTCTTGTGTTTCTGTGAAAGACAATTGGGAAGCGTGAAATGTTTCAGAGAAAGCAGCAGCACGTGGTTTGGGAGCGAAGGCTCCTGGATATCCAGGCTGAGAGTGGCAAAAATACTACTTGACTGTGGTTTAGTAGGGTTTTGTTTAACTCATGAGCTAAGTGTGAACTGGAGTTTCTCCTGTGGCATAAGTTAATATATGAAAATGTTTGTCTGCTCCTTCTTTCTCTGTAAACATGAATACTTTCTCCTCCACTCTGTAGTTTAGGAGTTAATATTTATTTGGGCACGTGAGAAGGTGAGTTTGGGAAGTGAGAGTTGTATTTGAAAGAACTGTGAAGATGCTCTACGATACCTGTAGTAATAAAGTTCGTTAATGAAAGGAATATGAAGGAGAACATGACGAAGAATATTCATTCCTGCAAGTTACAAAACATGTCATGCTGGAATGTGATCCCAGAGATTAGCTGAAAGGCCGGGGGAGAGGTGAGCAAACACCGGCAGTGTAAAGGTCGGCCGGGCAGAGGCACGTCTGCCCCCGCAGTGCTGCGGCATCAGCGCGGCTCTCCAAGTAGCCACCTGTGCAACAGCATCGCTTGAAATCCCCCCAGATAAAGCGCATGTTGAGGGTAACAGGTTAGGTGAGAATTAAAAAACGAGAGCTCCAGAAATTGCTGTTACTGGCTCGCTCTGCTGCCCGCTAGCCTCCTCGGGCAGAGAGACGCAGCGTAGCTGTCGGCGTGCCCTTTGGACGGCTACCAGCCGCTTGCCCGTGGCCACGAGGCACGGCGCGGGGTGTTGGTGTGTGGTTTGCAGATCAGCAGGGTTGGTTGTGCTTGAGGGGGAAGATGCAGTTAAGCGTGGGGACTGCAGCGATGGGACGGTTGAGCTTTTAACAGCAAAATCTGATGGTGTACTTCACAAAATATTTCTGTGTCGTCGCAGTGGAGGGAAAACAAACTGTTCTTCAGTGTATTGCGACGTACCACAATACTATGTCGTTATATAGTAAAAGTTCCCGGTGACTTAAAAGCTCCTACATTACAATATTTGACTATATTTTGTAGTGCTTAAGGAAGTCAAAGCTAAAAGACTCTTCAGCAGTTTTTCAGTACATAATGTGATTTATGTTTGTTTTTTTTTAAATGAAATTTGTCTTAAAAATGTTTTACTCTGAATGTCAATCACTTTGAAAGCAGTGAAAAATAATCCTGACATAGGATGTAGTGTGGGCAAGTTTGGGAGAATCACTCCTTGATAACCTCAAACTTAAGAAAATAGTGTTCATGTTTTACACATCCTTCCTCTCCTTCACAGCAACTGTGGCATTTACTGGGGTTGCAAGTAGAGGGGAAAAAAGGGAAAAAGGCATTTTTATAAAGCTGGCGATAGGTGAAAATAAAATTTCTTATTCCTGTTATGAAAGCATTAGCACATGACAGCAAGTGTGTCAGAATTGCCCTGAGGATGCCATTCAGGGATATCTCCATACAATTTAGCTGGGGGTATGGGTGAATGTTACTTTTTGTCAAAATAAGATATGAACCAACATAAAAGAATTCATGCATATAGTAATGATGACTATTGACGTTGAGATTAGTGCCTCTGTAATACACCCATTGAGGTCTGAACTTCCCTTTTGCCACAGACAAGTTTCTTGTCATAATTGGAGGTAGCTGAACAAACCCCCCCCCTGTTCAGGTTTAGGATGGTCGGTATTTTAGAGCCCGCTGTCTGCACTGTACCCGCATGCCCCCCTCTCCATCGCCTGTGAGCAAAACTGTCCTTTTGCTGGGGCAGAGTACGCTACGCTGGCAAAACTTTGTCCTGTTTTGTTGTGGTTTTCCTAAGGTAACATAAATGCATTTGCATGAGCAACACTTTTACACTAATTGTGTGCCTCTCCTCCACTAAGCCTCCCGTAAGCTGTACGTGGTGCACAGAGTGTAGCAGGCACATGAGCAAGCGTGAATATAGCTTGTATGAGTAGAACATGGATAAAGGGCATTGATAAAGTGTGGTGGAGCTTGGCTGGTCTGTATTTTGTACCATGACTGTAACACTTTGCTCCTGGGAGCAAAATCATCTCTAGTGTTAGAAATGAACTCTTACCAATTTAACTGATTGATCAGTAGGTCCTTCTTTGTTCTAGGACTGTACAAGAAATCGGGCAAACTAGTGTTTCTTGGACTGGACAATGCTGGAAAAACTACGCTGCTGCACATGCTCAAAGATGACAGACTGGGACAACACGTCCCCACGTTACACCCCAGTAAGTTAATGCTGCTGGTTCCATAGCCAGAAAGTATTTAAAGTGTTGCAGGAAGAGGAGGTTCTCATTATACATCAGAAGACCTACAGTGTAACTGGGGGGGAAAGAAGGGAATTCCTGGGATTGCCATCTGTAGATAGTTCAAGTCATATTCAGAAAAATGTGTGTAAGATAGTTCAGTGTGGTATATTTTAAAGTTAAGAGGTAACAAGCAGGGTGATGGAGCTGAGAGTCTAGATTACAGAACCAGTGGGAAATTGGGGCTTGCAGTGTTTGGGAGCTGCTTCTCTGTGCAGCTGGAAACAAGCATTTCTGTACACTATTTTGATTTTTTTTTTGTGGCTCAGAGGTTGCTGTGTAATTAGCATTTCTGTACACTATTTTGATTTTTTTTTTTTTGTGGCTCAGAGGTTGCTGTGTAATTGTTATCCTGGTAGTCTCACAGGAGAAAAAGTTCAGCACGGGTTAAAAATGTGGATTGGTGAAGTCCAGTGAGGAGGTGAGAAATTGGGTAAAGGATGTGAAGAGGAGAAACCTTGAACAGTATTGCACGTGAAATGCCATCTTTGTGGCAAACCAGATGACAGAGCCAGCTGTTGTTTGCGTAATGTGTAGGGATAAATAATGTAGGAATATTCTCTGCTATTCGTAGCATTGTAGATATTTCACATGTGTTTTAACAACAAAATGCTATTAACCATTAAACAAAGGTGTCATTGATCTTGAGAGAAAATGCATTGCTCTGGTCTGTTTCTTGAACAACAAAATACAGAGAAGACCCAAGACAGAAACTAAAAATCTACGCGCTAGAAGGTTAGACTGTTCTAATGCACTGCGTAATCTTTACAGAGAACATAATTCTGTGTATTTCTAGCTTCAGAAGAGCTGACGATTGCTGGCATGACTTTCACTACCTTCGATCTGGGTGGACATGCGCAAGGTAAGAGGATACGTCAACTCACTTCACTGGATTGAGTTAGAGCTGTCTACGGTGTGTTTGTTTCGGATCAGAAATATGACAGTGCTGCAGAGATCGACTTCCCACGCTCTCTTTGACAGTATAAAAAACACTCACTGCTCTGTTGCCAGTCTCCACCATTTATCACAAATCCCAAGTACAATTTGGCAAGAGCTGCAGTAGAGCATAAATTTTTGACAGATATCTCTCTTTTGAAGAGGATTCTGTACTTTGAATTGCTTACATTTACCTTTAAGCTCTATGCTTCATGCTTCAAACTTAGCTTTGTTGACATAATTCTTGGGGAAACACAAAAAGTCTTGGTACATCAGTGTGCATGTGGGATAGAGTGGTGATGACAGTAGAGGGAATGATACTTTTGCTCCGTTATTTCAAGTTTGGTAAAACATGAAACTGCATCCTGCAGACTAGCAATGTTAGATAAGACTTACAAAACAAACAAACAAAAAAACCCAAGCCTGTTGCTGCTTAATTACTGATGTGCGTCACGCTGAATTTTGGGATAATTTCCTTTTGTTTTTAATTCACATCTTCCCTGTAGCTCGCAGAGTGTGGAAAAACTACCTGCCTGCGATTAATGGTATTGTGTTCCTGGTGGACTGTGCAGATCATGAAAGATTGCTTGAATCAAAAGAAGAACTTGATGTAAGTTTAAATAAGTTTTGGAGAGTTTTCTAAGAGATAAGCTCAAACTCCCAATATCCAACAGAGCTCTGCTGCCACCTGGCCATGAGCAGTAGCGGTTTGACCTTTTAATATTCTAAATTAATCTCTCCTCCTTTCTCCTTCCCTTTGTAGTCACTAATGACAGATGAAACTATTGCTAATGTGCCTATCCTAATTCTTGGTAACAAGATTGACAGACCTGAAGCCATTAGTGAAGAGAGGTTACGAGAGATGTTTGGTCTGTATGGCCAGACAACAGGAAAGGTAATGCTCCTTCTTTTTTTTTTTTTGGTGGCTTTGGGTTTTTTTGCTAGGGAGTTTGTCTGCCTTATTTGTGTGTTGACTCCAGTGCTTCCCTTAAAGGTTGGTGCCAGTCAGAGCTTAAATTGAGCAGGAACAAACCTTTACCTTCTTGTTTTCCATGTGAAAAAGAATTGCACGGTTCATTTTAGAATCGGTATAATGGGCTATAAACAGTTACTACTGACTTTTTTTTTTTTGTATCTTGCCCTGTTTTTTACACACTGCACGGAGTCTATGAAGTGTGAATGCCATTGTGAATCTCCTGTTGAATAACAGCTTTATCACACTGTGCTGATCCTGGCAAGCAAGCAGCTTGCACTCTTGCTATGGTCAGTCCTACAATTGGTAGCAAATGTTCTTTTTAATCTGGTTGGAAAGCTATGAGCAACAGAGCAGGGAACCGTGACTGAAAACTGACAGAAAAGAGTATAAGCTCTCAAATTCGCTGTGCACGTGCTTGCTGTTGCACTCTGAAAAAAAAACTTTCCAGATGTGGATGCAGATGAAAACATGGTCGGCGTATTTCTCCAGTGACCCTAATCTTAGTAACATGTACAAACTTTAGATTAATTTATTTTCTAAAATTCTGGTATCCAACGCAAGTTAAATAATGGCATTCCATAGAAACCGAAGTCCACGTACAGTAGCCATCTTTTTATAACATAGTGTGACTTGGAACGCTTCTTGTCTCTCTGCAGGGCAGTATACCGTTGAAAGAACTGAACGCAAGGCCGCTAGAAGTGTTTATGTGCAGCGTGCTAAAGAGACAAGGCTATGGCGAAGGCTTCCGTTGGATGGCACAGTACATTGATTAATGCCAAACTCGCGCCAGTACATTCTGTTCAGTGTCTGAATATTAAGTCTGCTCCTTATTTGATCACTCAGTGTACGTAACTTGAATTCATTTGACTGTTTAGTTATAAAAAAACATGCATTTTTAGCCGATTATATCACATATGCTAAATTGTAAGCGTGAGGATTGAAAAATTATTTCAAGCAAGTTTGTAAGTTTAAGCACCACAACCTGTGAGCTTCCTAATCCCATGCAACATTCTTTTGCAGCTTTTAATTTAACGAGTCTCCGGCACCATTTTTGGTCAGAGCAACTTTCCAGTACAGTATGTTTGAATGCACTTTTTAACAGCTAAAAACTACGAACATGTGAAAAATATTTAATGCTTATGTTAAATTTTTTTATGTACTTTTTTGAAACTGGTTTTATAACTTTAGAGTATATAACCATCTTTCAAGGTATAATAAATAATTAGCTGATGGATAATTGCATGATGCCTTACGGTTTTCAATAATATACTTTCTTATGCAACGTCATGCAATAAATTGAAATCCGGTTTTTGGCAACTTTAATGGAAAATGTTTCATTTTAATGTGTCTTAAGTAGTGAGGCTGCCTGATGATCAGAATATGTGGGGTATTTTCCTGAAACACAGAAGGCCACAAAGTAGTTTCATTGTATGTTAGAGTAAGGTGGTTTTTTCAGATGAACAAATTGCATTTATTTCAGGATTTTTGCGTTAGTAAAAGAAAAATCTAATCCGATGCCCTTATAACCGCCACCTTTAAAAAGTACAAACAATGTAAATCAGCTGTGCCAATGTGAATATTGAACTGATGTCAAAAGTGGTCTTACTCTAGTGGTTTCTTGATTTAAACCCTTGTAGCAACACAAGAAGTACAGGGTTTTTTCTGAAGAAATTAAGAATAGCATTGCACTAAATATTCTGTTCCTAATCTAATTAGATTTGGGGTCTGCCAGAAGATTTGCCTGTGAAATTGCCAAGGGGAAAAAAAAAATGTTCCCATTGCTGCTTGTGAAAATTTATCAACCCACACCCAATCAGTCAATTTTGCTTTTGGTGTTTTGAACTGGGACAAGATGGATTGTTTTCTGTGGTTTTTGCCCTGAAACCTAGCCAGTGTGGCAGCTGGTGGCTTATTTCTGGGGTAAATTGTGGTTATCTGCAGGCCTTGTTTCCAGACTTCTGACTGGTTTTGCCCGTCTTTGAGCACATTAGTTCCCCGAGGAGAAAGCAGGTTATTTTTGAAGAAGGGGTGTTGAAGCGCCTGTGTCTGTCAGGGTCTTGTTGACGCTGCCGTGGGGCTGTGCTTGGTGTTTCCGCGTGCTGGGCATGTTTTACTCTAATCTGTCGAGCACAGGTAGGGTTTCAGCCCTGGAGTCACCATGTCACTGTGATGGTTTGAGTTTCGCTGTGTAGTTTGGTTCCCCCTTGTAAGAGTAAGAACTACCACAAGTTTGGGTGTGGTGTTTTGTTTTGGTTGTGTGTTTTTTTTTTTTTTTTTTTTTTGCCGCAAGTTTGGGTGTGGTGTTTTGTTTTGTTTTGTTTTGTTTTTTTTAACTGAATCCCTTTTACTCACTGTTGTAGGTCTTCTCCAAAATACTTTAGGCCTTGTGTTTCCAATAGCCATGGCAGCAAATTCTGACTGGGTTGATTGCATAAATAACGTTCTCTCTTGACTTGCTGGGCCTGAATCTCAGATTTAAAGCCTGTTAGGCTCATAGCAAATAAATGAGACTTACTCCTTGCCCAGATCTGAACTTGTATGATTGAATATTGACGATCACTTCCCTACAGTCCTAAATTGTGCATCTGAATAAGATGAATAATTCAGAACCTAACTAATGTAAATTATAACTGAATTTATTACTGCACAATAATGTGTGAAGCGTTAAGCCTAGTTTGTGCATGGCAAAGTTCGGGGTGACTGTAGCGGGTAGCTTTTCCAAATGACCAGCATAAGAGAATTCTGCATGTAAACTTGTGCTCAGCTGTAGAGTAGCGTCTCTGTTGCATAAATCAAAACTGGAGGTAAGAAATGGCCTCTCACCAGCGTGTGGACAGTATGTGAGTCTTTACTACCTACAGCCGTTATGCGGGGGACATGCCTCTATTTTTTTTTTTCTCCCTAGATTTTTTTCTGATGATGGTTATAATGCAGAGAACAGCTAAATTAGTAGACGGTGTAAATATTAAAAATACCACTTGCAGTCAGACTGAGGTGTTGATGTGGGAGACTTGGGACCGTGTTGCCCGTGCTTATGGAGATGAAGCCGGAGGTGTTCTGCTGCAGACTGCTTCCACGGGCTGAGCCGTGACGTGGGCACTGAGAGGTCCCCTTCACCTCCCCTTCCAGCCACCTGTGAATAACATTAGCAGTAAGGAAAGGGTTGATAGTATTAGGAATTAAAAAGGAAGGGAGGTGATGCTGCTTTAAAAGTGTGTGTTGAAGCGTAATTCTTCATATTATGGAAATACTCAGATTTCACGTTTCCTACTGTAGGGTGCTAGTTTAAATGTGGTTGTGATAAGGGCATGAAGAAAGTTGGACCTTGTGTTCATCCACCTGGGTATTGTAAGGGTTTCCCTTGTGGGAATAGCTGATCGATGCTCAGTTAAATACACAAATAATCTTGCTCCATTTTGTTCAGACCTATCTATCTTCTGTAGTTTACGTTCTGTTGTGCACATGAATGTGAATGGGTGTTGTGTGTCTTTGTGTGAAGACTTCATTAACAGACATATAATGATGAGAGTTTTGCTGGTGGTTTTTATCCCCACTCCCTCCACATCTCCCCGGTTGGTCATTTATTTCTGCAGGTTGCTTATTCCTATGACTGTGATCAGTCTTACTTTAAAAAAAAAAAAAAAAAAAACAAATTCACATTTGGGTCTGACCTCTATGATTTTATTTTTTTCCCTACTCTTGACTATGCAGATTTCAATTAAACATCACTTTAAAGAATGTGAAAAAGAAAACTCATGAATAAAGATGTTATTTATGAAGTGTCTCATTTTGTTTTTACATCACAACAGTTCTTTAAGAAAAATGAATGCAGATTTCTAAGGTACTAGTAAGTACTTCTGACCAAGTGGCCTGGATTTCACTGCAGTGGCCCTATGCGCCAGCATCTATGGGTTGAATAAGACTTATTCTGCTGGGATTTAATTAAACTTGGGGTTTAGTATGTATTGTGTAACTGAGAGGCATTGCTGTATTTCAGTCTTGGTTTAATAAAGTTTTCAGCACCAATCATCTGCATGGCAGATGGGGAGGATCTTTGAGCTTTCCCATTTATCCCCTTGCCAGGTCAAGATTATTTCATTAATATTTCTGTGTTCAGGTGCTGTCTGTGATGTGCCTGAGATGACCTCTGGCGTTCGCTGGAATACAGTACCTGTGTGCATGTGAGCTTTGTTGTATTTTAGTAATTGGAATTGAATGTCAAATAGAACACTTGGCATCCACTTATTTATAACTAAAGTCAGTTCAGAACGATGATGATGGTGGTCTCCAATCCCAGTGAATTCACGGGTCTGCTTGAAGTCGAATTGTTCTTCTCTCGTTTGTACTGTCAGAGTATTTGGTTGTTTCCAATCAAAGGCAAATATTTCTATTGACTACAACGTGCTCAGATTTAGTGTGGGTGACGTCAGCGTTAGTCGTGGACTTGGGAGTTACATTAAACCCAGCCTAATCCTCTGGCTGCCCGTGGGGATGTGTGGTTTACTTGCACTTAGATAAACCACTGCTTGCGCTGGTATCTCAGTGCAGAACTGAATGTTTTCTGTTCTGAAATGTGAGTGCTCTCAATGTTTAAAAGCATAATTTATATAATAAACTGCAGAAGAAAAGTGAAAGGTGAAAGTGTTCTTAAACGTGTTCCTAACATGGTGTTTGTTATGTTATCCCAGCCCATGCTTGACATTTAAGTATCAGGATAGAAAATAAAGTTCTGACTTGGAATTGGAAGAAAAGGAATTTTAAACAGGTAGTTGTTGTCAAATTACCAAATCCAGGAAAAAAGTGCGCAGATTTAATCCATGGTCTAGCAGTGAGTTTGGGGTTTTCCAACTGGGAATAATAATAATTCAGCCTCCTCTTCGCTAGGATTTTTGTTCATGTGTGCACGGAAGCAAATCCTCTACTTGGAAAACTCTGAGCATGGAAAAAATGATGTTTGCTTTCTTGTAATTTTAAAACGAGAGGGAGGGCTCTGATCTCAGACTGTCTTAGAGGGAAGCTGCCCTCAGGGCTTCGTGCTGTTGGGGGACTGCGCGGAGCGGGGGTTACCTCTGCCTCGCCGCTTGTCGGAGTGAGTCCACCCAACCCTGTTTGATAGTGAGGAAAGTGTCTAAACTGACGGCGATAGAGAACTACTTTCCAATCCTAAGTATGTGTTCTCCTTAGCTTACAGTTTTCAAATTATTTCTTGACTGCTTTTGAGCTAGAATTAGGAATTTGGTGGTGAGCAGTTTATGGTAAAATAATGATTAAAAAAAACCCCGTATCCCTTGTTTTTCTTATGACCCCATTTCTTACGGCACGCGTCCCATCCCAGGAAGAAATTTATAACGATATTTTAGATGCCTTCCATTCCAGGATCTCAAAGCTTTCCAGCTGCTGATGCTGCCTTGGCATCCTCGTGAAGCAGAGGGGTTTTTATCCTTGTTTAACCTGTGAAGAAAGCAAAGTCCGGAGGGATTAGGTCGTACTTGGTCTCTGCCTGAATGAGAAGAGCAACACAGCAACCCCCAGCGACATCGGCCGAAGCAATGCCTCCCTTAACCCGGGCCCCGCTGGTCGGTGTCCTAGAGAAGGCAGAAGCCTTCATCACCTGAAGGGACCGTGTGTGAATTGGTGGTGTTTTGGGTCACGTCCTCTTGTATGCCTGCATTCATAGCAAAAAAAGCTGCTCTAAGCATGTACCATTGGCTGTCAACTGTGGTGCACCCAGCTGTGACAATATTTAGTTGGTAAGTTAAAAGAACGGTGCAAAAACTTGCCATGGCTGGAGTGGGTGCAAAGCTTGGATCTAGCTGAAATTTCTGATTCTCTTTCCTAAATGCGTGCTGGAAATAAGCACCAGCCTTGTAAAAGGAGAAAACTTAAAGGCATACTTCCAGTATTTGGGTCCAAAGGGCTGCTTTTGGCACAGGCAAATAAGATTGATATAGTTTGGGTAGATTCTCCCCCTGCAAAGGTGGTACTTCACTGTCGGAGTGGTTTGATGAACTCCCAGGAGCAGCATGGGCTGGAGCAAACCCTTGGCAGTGGCTTGGGATGGAGATGAGCTGTTGCAGACCTGATTTTGGCAATTTAATGATACCCGAGTACCCAAACCCAGGAGTGGATGCGAGGGGGGGGTACGGTGACAAGCTGCTGCTCTGGGAAGGGATGGGGCTGGCGCTTGCGGTCGTGTGTGCAGATGGGGGAGCTGAGCGAAGGAGGGGAACCTGCCCCCACCCTGGCCAGAGGATCTGAAGTGGTTCAGGTTGGGTAGCACACGGCATTTCTGAGCAAAGGAGGCTGCTTTTCAAGTGAAAACGTGGCTCTGGAGGAAAGTTGGAATTTAAGAGAGTTGGTTAAAATCTTTGTTCAAGGTTTGTTGCAACCCAGAAGCTTTGCTAGTGGCAGGAGATGTGGGGGAGGCACTGGGGACCATGGCGCGGGGTCTGCTGTCAGGATTACGCTCGGCGCCTTTAGGAAAGACTTGACCAAGTTCCTGGCTGTGCAGTGGAGGAAGGGAAAAATTTATTGGGTTAAAAAAACCTCCTTTTGCCAGCAAGGTAAGAGGGAGAACGACCACGAACAGGGCTCCTAACGCTGCTCTGCCACGGCTTGTTCGTGGGCTGACCCCCGGGCTGGTGTTTGGAGATGCTGGCGCTTGTGAAAGCGAAGTGGGGAGAGAAATGAGCTGGTGATAGGAGCGGCATTTCAGCCGGTCTGTGCCTGCTGTGGTGATGCCAGCGTTTGTCAGGTTATTTTGAAATCTGTCCGGCATCCTACAATCAAGCTGGGCTTTCAGAGCCACTGAAAACTGCTGATCCTTGGTCGACTGTTCCCCAAGGACGAAGCTGAGGTCGCTTGTTTAATGCACTTGACTTCTGACTGGTGATAAGCGCGAGCTGCAGAACTTAAACCTGTGTTTTAAGCGCTCTCATGCCTGTTGACACTTGAAGCTGCGTTTTGAGTTCAGCCTAGACTGTCGGTTCCAGCCCCAGCGCCCGAATGCCCTTTTCTCTCTGCTTTCTTAGAGCAGGATTTTGGTTTAGCTTCAGATAAATTGGAACTGTGAAAGGAAGACTCCTGTATGTGCCCCTTAACGCTTCTATTCCTTGCTCTGTGTGTGTGTATAATATGTAAATATATATGTATATATACACACGCAAGAGGCTTAAAATAAATCTGTTCAAAATATTGCTACTGAGCTGCATTAGCATGAAATTGCAGAGGTCACTTAGTGAAAGTCTGCTCGTAGTAGGTGT